TTGAAAGTTTTATAAATTGTGAGTTACAAAGCCAAATATACTTCGAATAAAGAGTTATACAAAGCAAATTACGTTTATTATCACAGATTATAAGTTATAAAAACAAATAGTATATTAATTAGTTGTCAACTTGAAATAATATATCTAGCAAATTCATGTTTTTTTTTAAAAAATAACACCTCACCCACTAATTCTGAATCTTATAGGATGGCTTTCATATGATGGTTGTTTAAGTTAATTTAATTTTATATTATTTATACAGTTTAAAGTACTTTTCAAAAAAAATAAAGCTATAAAGAATAAATAAAAAAAGTATATAGGAGGTTGGGGTGTCACACAGACTAATTAATCAAAACTATGTTTGCTAACTATGTAATTTATTATATTGTATATTTTTACGTTATACAAATACAAATTATACTTTAATTTGATTTACATTATAATATAAATAATAATAAAAGATTTACAAGCAATTTATTAATTTATCATTATAACAATAAAACATTATTTACGACCAAATAAATCTTTAAACAATTGATTAGCTCTTTCTTCACGATTATTATTACTATTGTTAAGATTTTCTTTGACTGAAATTGAATTATTTATAAGTTTTGTTTGCTGTAAACATTTCTTCATTCTAAGTTTTGTTGAATCTGATGAATTACAATTAATCTCAGTAAGTGGTAAACTTGCAAGTCACAATTTTGATTGTTGAAGATTATTTGTTATATTGGGATGGATTTTAAGATCCCATTTATTGAACAAACCTTCAACTTGTTGTTGGTGCACCAAGATGTACCAAATTCAATTTTTTACAAATTCATACATCTTTGGAAAATGGTATAAATGTTTTTGTTCTTGAATAAATTGATAAAATTCACAACTAAATTCAGAATTAAGTAATGCAGCTGATAGTTTAAAATCATTAAATTCAGCAGATTTAATATCTAACTTGAGAAATTTTGCATAACACAATTCTCGCAATGATGGTACTGAAGACCAAGATATTCCTAAAATAACATAAGCAAAGCTTTATGCAAATTTCCATCTATACTTTCCATCTAAACAACAGATACTGAGTGGCAAATGTAACTAGCAATCTAACTATTTTTGGTAAAGCTCTAATGCTTTTTGTGTGGCACATTCTAAATCCGAAGTAAGCTTGGCAAGTTGATTATCATTTAACAAATCAAAACTTTCAAGTAATTCTTTCCTAAAAAAGGAATAGGAATCTTCAACAATATTTTAAAGTTTTATAATAGTGCAAGTTACAAAGTCAGGCATTTGGTATGCCCATCATCCAGTGGAAAGATTTGTTGGTGAAGTGTTTTCATTTTGTAACTACAACTCAGAATCGTAGCCCATAAGAAATTTAACCATAGGATAATACAAATCTTTTCCAAAACAAACAAGTAATTTGATTTAAATATTTAAGAGTGGATTATGAAGCCAGCTTTGAAATAATTTCTATATTTTTATGTACAAATTTGGTGTATTATTTCTAGTTTTAAGCTAAGATAAAAACCATTCAGCAAATTTAATATGAATATCTTTTCACTCTAAGTATTGTTTAGTATACTTTAATTCGTAGAGCCATTTTGATCGAATAGGTTGCTGGTACTTCATTAATTGATAGTTAAATTGTTCCTTATAAAGATTATAAATGTAATCAGATTGTATTCTCATTGGCTTGTCTTTATTGCTTTTATTGTACTTGTCATAGAGATCCTAAGCCAAATATAGAAGATTTCTAGAAGCTCTTTTTGTAAAAAATCTATAATACTAGATAGTTTACCAAAAGCAGCCTTCTCAAAACTATTCATTATAATATGTGCCATATGAATTTCGCATGGAACTCAAAACAAGTTTGCATTACTCAACTGGTTAAACAATGAAATTGCACCTCCAACTTTGCCGCTCATATAGTTGGTATTATCTGATACACATGCAAAGCATTGTTGAGAGTTTAATTTAAAATGGTTAAATGTATCAAATATTGCCTGAGCAACTGCTTTTCCTGTACAAGCATTTAAATCTTTCATCTCTAATACTTAAAAATCTGGCTTGTTATATTTAGAATTCCAGAATATAATGCATATTACAAATATTTATGCTGACCTCAGGTCGATTCATCTGCCATTATACCAAATATGAAATATTCTGAACAAATATTTGAATTAAAAATCTTGTTCACATGAATATCACTAATTTCTTTATTCTATCTAATAATAGATTGTGCTGAAATCAATAATAGTAAATCTTCAGTTAAAAAACCTAATATCGAATATGTGACTTGAACAGTACTTCAGAATGATATTTAATTTATTTGTAATATTTGTATAGCTAAAGTCATAAATTGAGTTGTATATTCATATTTGTTTTTCATAATAGTTGCTTTAATGCTTGCTTTTAAGCTTCGAAAGTCTATAGGTAGTGGTCTTTGAGCTGCAGCACGTACTTTTGATATATGTTGACATTGCTTGCATTTATAGTATGATAATGATCCTATCAATTGTTTAACTTTGTAATTTTTTTTTCATTCGAATGTTCTAATTGAGTTACTTTTTTTTGAAGTATCTTATTTTTTTGATTTAATGAGTCTGAATCCTGACCTGCTTTATAAAGAAATAAACTTATAAATCTTAAAGCTTTATTTTGTAAGAATGGCAAAAGCAAATTACCTTCATTAGGTCCTTTGAAGTATCGCATTGTATCTAATAAGTGAATTGCAGATTTCAATTGATCATCAGGCAGTTGCTTAACTCTATCAATTAACTTTTGACAAAGTATTTTTTGGTTCATTTTTTGTTATTGGCTGGTTGAACGATGCTTTGATAAACTAATTGTAATTTGTCATCATCTATTTCAATTAATGTTTTATTAATATTTTGAATTATTTTTTCATGTTGAGCAGCTTTTCGTGCATTTACTGATGCTTGACTTGCTTTACATGCTTTAAGTTTTTGTTTAGATACTGGTGGTATTTGTCTATTATTATGATTGTTTTTAAGCAATGAATTTTCTTAAAGTTATTGATATGAGTAGATGAATGATTTTACAAATTTTTTATTCAAGAAATATCAGAAGTTAATGTTTGATCTGTAAGATCGAATTTTTAATTATTTAATTTCAAGTGCGATTACATCATCAATCTGTCACAATAGACTTTTAAATTACACTATCACTATAGTTCTATAACAGTAGACTTTACATTATTGTTCTCTTTAAATGAAATTCCAAATAAGGAAATCCAAAATAGTGCAGCAATATCAATCGACAAAATTTCCCGCAATTTACGAGGTGATGTAACCGTAAACACGAAAAAAAACATATTTCCCGGCTACCGGTTAATCCTATTCTGTTCCGATATTGATATTAATGCAATCAATAAATCAATATGTACTGTACAACCATTATCTAATAAATAATCAATAATTAAAACAAATAATTATTAATCATAATTCTGAACTGAGGATTGATGCACACCATCTTTATCTTCATGTGCAATTTTTGTGTTATGATGTAAGTACTGAAACCGGGAACCTTAAAATTTTGAGTTTCACAAAGGAATAACTTAATTAATGATCTGTCTACACAAAAAGTCTTGGCAAATTTTTAAGGGGCGTTATATCCGAAATGCCAAATGTTTTTAATTAATACTCTTATTAGAAATGCAATATAATTTCAGTTATCAAAACGCTTAAAATATGTTTCTTCACTTCGTTCCAGACAGCAAACTCAAAGTAAAATGCGAATGATGGTGCTAGTTCCGTCTCTAACGTTATTTCAACGTTATTATCCATATGTATTATCTGAAAAAAGTTTCAATTATCTATAAAATATTTTCATTCATGTTAAATTATATTTGTGTGCACAAAAGTTTTTTTAATTAAAAAAAAATCTAATCTGTATCGGTTAATTTTTTTTTCTCTTAAAATTTCAAAAGAAATACTACAATATTATAAATTTATTTTAAATATTAAAAATGTTTCACTTAAATATATTATGAAACGGATAAAATTTTTCTGCAAATTTCTATAATTTAGAAAATAATACGTATCTTTGTAAATACAAATTAAAAAAGCTAGAACAGTATTGATTAATAGCTAATAAATAGCTTGTAGATAAAATTAAATCTACATATGTAACTAATTGTATTTTTTATTATAAAATTTATTAATTTTTATAAATATTAACTATAAAAATATCTTAAAAAATAAGTGTATGATTTGTAATTGAAACGCAAAATATTTATTAAAATATTTTAATACTTATTTAACAACCATTTTTATTTTAATCTATCCCTTTTGCAGGCAAATTTGCCCACAAACATTTATCCCCTGTTAAAATTTCGTGTTTAAGTGAACTAATCAAGTATGGAAGTGCTGTTGGGGTGCTAGATACAAAAATTATTTACTATGTCAGAGGCAAACTCGTTACCTTTTGATCGCATAGAACTTGCACGAAACGATAGCGTATGAGCCCCAAAATCAAATCCGTTATACAAACGATGAAAATGCAGAATAGTTCGTAGAGCCGCCAGACGATCTACATTAATCCAATTTGCAAAATTACGGCCACAAAAGACATTGGGTAATATTACCTTGCAGGATAAAGCTCGCATGATCTTTCGTGGGTAAGAACGTTTGTTGGAAGCAAAATGGAAGGCGAAGCGATTGAGATAATGAAAACTGATCGCATAAGGGTAAAATGTTAGCTAAAAAAGGTGGATACGGCTTGTTAGAACGATAATGAAAACATCCAAATATTTTTTTCTTCCCGTAATTTTCTTATAAATAGAGAGTTCATTTTCTTGTAAACTGTGTGTACTTAACACATAAAATATTTAATAAAGTCTCTAAGACCATTAATAACCCAAATACTCTTTAATACCTACCTGCCAAATCGTTATCCGCCTCTATATGTCGAGCTATGTTACGCGAAATTAACGAATTCGAGCGACAATTTGACTCATTTCTCTCCTTTTTTGTATGTGTGGAGTTGTGACCTTTTCTTCCGTAACATTATCATAGTGTAGTGGTAGTACTATATAATTGGCCTCATGGGCTAAATCGATAATATTGGCCAATCAAATCATATCTCTTAAACCGTTTCCCCTGCAAATTTGCCCTGAAATTTTTTTAAAAGCATTATTTTTAAAATAAAATCTTAAAT